ATACTTTATTTTCAACTTTTTGATTATTTCCTTAATGTTTATTGAAAATAAATGCCTTTACGATGTGATACGAGATTTGAAAAGAAAAAAAGAGTTCGGCAAAAGGCGGGATCGAACCCGGGTCGATCGTGTCAAAAAGCCAAAGTCAAGTGCTTATCCATCTGCACCACTGGAGCTGATGATTAACAGCTACTTTTAACTAAATATAAATATACACTCCGTATGTTTTATTCCAGAGTAAGGGCAATTCATACAATACATTTAAACTGAGCTACTTTAATACCATCTCTGAACTTTCTACCACGACTCTGCTGTTCTTCCCTGTATACGTTGATTGACAGATGTCTCGTCCAGTCAGCGGTGAGTAATCCCAAACCAATGGCGCTGTCTCAATATATACCTACCTCTTTCGGTTTGTCTGATTTGTCCTTGTGTTTTCTGACTTGTTCATTTGTTTTCGGATTTGCCGTTGTGTTTTCTGACTTGTTATAATGTTTTCTGAATTGTTGTTGTGCTTTCTGAATTGTTATTTTGTTTTTTAGACTTGCATTTGCGTTTGTAATTTGTTATTTTGTTTTCAGAATTGTGATTTGCTTTGCACTTCTCTGCCACCGTATAAAACTGATGTGATTGGAATTAAGAATGGGACTCAAAGGACTATGTTAATCAGCTTTTCCATTATAGAAAGCATATATGGTGAAAATAATGCAAGCAGCTACCAGAAACAACCTAAACATGTCTTACTTGACCACTTTTGTGCAGTTCAAATTGTGAAAAAATGATTGAATAAAGTCTGTGTAATATCTTTAGTGAGATTTACACAAATCATACAGTCTATATACAGCTATCCTGCTCTGCTTCAAATCTTCTTACAGATGGCTTGAGACTGGAAAACTTTCAGTTAAATTTTTTATTTTACTTTAATTTTGGGACCAGCTTTCGTGTTGCATATACAAAGTAAACGTATTCATTAAACCACACAAAAATTATTATTACTCAATATTTACTAAATCTACAGAAAAAGATGATTAACAAACATTCTAGAGAAATTATGAATTCATGAAAGCGTATGGGAAATGTGTAAACATGGACAAATGTTCAGATATCTTCATCTATTCTTTTAGTGTAAACAACTAACTTGAATTATATCAGTATAAATAAAGTGTTGGGGGTAACGCATTACAAGTAGCGCAAGTTACGTAATCAGATTACTTTTTTCAAGTAACTAGTAAAGTAACGCATTACTTTTTAATTTACAAGAGAATATCTGAGTTACTTTTTCAAATAAGTAACGCAAGTTACTTTTTTTTCCAATTTATTGACTGACAGCTCTCCTGTCCCCATGTTGAGAGAAATCAGAAGATGTTACTGTAGTTCTAAAATAAATATGAATATGCATTAATTCATCTCACTCACAAAAAAAACAAACAAACACAGATTCAGTATTCCTCAAAATGAATAAAAATAATGCAACTCAGAATATAACAAACCTGCAATAATTATGTTAAACAACTCAAATATGCTTTATGTATTTAATCCCATTCTATTAACCAATGTCTTTGCTTCTGACCTTCGATGATCCAGTTCAAGCGTACTAATAAGCACAAATTACTCTAGACAAACATTTGTGTGTCTTTGTTTATTGCTGAAGTGTGTTGAAATGTCTTCTTCTGCATTCTACTGTACTTTTCCTTCAGCCTGAGGCGCATTCATTTCACTTTTGGTTTGAAAAGGCTTTTATATTTGCCAAAAATATCACTTTTTTATTTTAAAAACAAACAAGTAAGCCCTGTCCAAATTTAAAAAGTAACGCAAAAGTAAAGTAACACATTACTTTCCATAAAAAGTAACTTAGTACCGTAATTAGTTACTTTTTTATGGAGTAACCCAATATTGCAATGCATTACTTTTAAAAGTAACTTTCCCCAACACTGTAAATAAATAAAATAAAGTTCCGAGTATGAAACCATAATGTGCTCAAAAACTCTAAATATTACAACTGCATGTACAATAAAGTTATTTATTAAAACTTTGACATTAATTACAACTCTCAACATGTAAAAAGGTGGTTTAATGTCAATAAACAGGATTTTCAGTACCAATCCAATTTGAACATTTGGGACTTAGTTCAGTGTGTAGACAACTAGTTTTTTTTAAAGAGGCCTTAAAATCTTTGCAAATATTATTACATCCCTTATTGTAGCTATTTATTTTCAAGTAGCAAAAGATATATATATATATATATATATATATATATAAACAATTCTGAAAGGTAAAACTCAAACTGCAAGACTTTGTAAATAAATAGAGCTGGAAAAAGAAAGGAATTTGACTGAATATCTTGTTTAGGAGCTTGATAACCACAGCACACATACTGCGGTAACAGAACAAAACTAAATCATTAGTGCCAAAGGAACATTATGCCAATTGTGAATTTCTTTTGCACTACAGTACAAACATTCATCGGTCCTCGTTGATGAAATAAAAGCCGAATTAATTTGTATAAATCGCTTTAAGTTTTCCTGCAACAATTTACACAAAAAAATGATTTTGTTCTGCTTGTGTTTCAGAAACGAGGACTATAGTTTGAACATTTCAGCAATGTGGAGAAACGACTATGCAAGCTGTGAACTGTGTAACATCCCATTCCATACTATTTATGGAAGTCCGTTTCCACTACGGAAAAAAACTAAAATGTAATTGTAACTTTGTCACAGTTCAGACTTAGTTTTTCCTCAAAATTGCGAGATATAAACCCAGTATTCTGACTTGTTCCCTTGCAATTCTGAGGCTTTTTGTTTCTGCTACAGAATAAAAAATGTAACCGTCTCTCACAATTCTACGTTTTTTTCTCCGAATTACGAGTTTATATCTCATAGTCCTTACTTCCACAATTGAAGTCTTAACATTAGAATTAAAAAATTCACAATTCGGACTTTTTTCTCTCAGTATTTTAAGCTTATATCTCACGATTTTGAGTTTATACCTAGCACTTTTAAGTTTAAATCTCACAATTCAGACTTTTTTCTCTGTATCATGAGTTTGTATCTTGCAGTTTTGAGTTTATATCTCATAATTCTTACTTTATATCTTGCCACTTTGAGTTTAAAGCTCATAATTCAGACTTTTTTTTCTCAGTTTATATCTTGCAATTTAGAGTTTATATCTTACAATTCTTACTTTTTTCTCAGGATTGCAAGACAAAAAGTCCAAATTGTGAGATATAAACTGAGAATTGCGAGATAAATGTTCTTTTTCTTTTTGTATTCAGAGGTGAAAACGGGCTTTCATAACTATAATTCAAGAAAACTCCATGAACTTCGTCTAGTTCCTTCAAACTACCTGAACATAACTGACACCAACAACATGAACTAATATGGGCATTGATTTTACAAATAAACTGATCATAGATCAGCATTAAAAGATGTCAAACATATCAGACCCCTGGTACTGTACAGAAAACTTCAATAACAAAAAACTGGCTCGTTAAAGGTCAAAGGTCGCAAATGAAACGTATGGGTTGAGAACTTCCATTCGCCCGTTTGCCCCTGTATG